TCTGTCAAGTTTCTCTGCTTCTTTAGGCTTCAGTTTCCTTATCTGTAAAATAGGATGCTACCTAGCTTTTGTGAACAGTAAAGAGAATTTACACACACAAATGCTGACCACAGTGGCTGGTATTGTTGGGAGCCATTAGAAATATTGGCTTATACAAAGCCATCTTAAGAACTATAAGTTTCTGGTTCCTTCGGAAACTCCTAATTACCAGAAACCACCTGTGTCTTGCAAATTGGCCAGGAGTTAAAAGATAACCCACCCTTTACCCACCCTTTACCCACCCCCCGTCCCTAAAACAGTATATATTCTGCCACTGTAAGAATAAAGTTTGAGGCTTGATCAGAATCCTGTCTTGCCTCCATTCTTTCGTGTCCCTTGCTTGCCTCATTCTCCTAGGGTGTCTCTTGGTTCCCCCGTTGTTGTCCTGCAGGTCGGGACAATTCCTGTTGGTGTTGAGTTGGTGCCAAAGACCATTGGTTGACAAAGCCAATAAGATTTTTAAAATTTACTCATCTGACGTCTGTTTTTCTATGCCAACAATGGGACCAATTGGCATATGTCCCTCCTGCTGTGATACTGGTAGTGCATGACATTCGTCTTCTGCCAAAAACTTTCAACCTGAATCTGATCACGAGGGGTGGGCAATCAAACAAAGATTATGGGCTATTCTATAAAACCATTGGCCTGAACTATTCAAATTTATTAACCTCACAAAGACAAAACACGTAGCCAGGGGAGGGAAGGGGCAGGGAGGAGGGCTGTACTGGATTAAAAGAGACTAAAGACACATTGGCTAATAATTTTGCACCAATGGTAAGTTTCTTGGTTATCAAGATGGTGTGGAGGTCATGTAAGATAACGCCTTTGTTCCTAGGAGATACAAGCCTAAGTATTTGATATTTGCAGCAGTTTCAATGCGGAGAGTAACAATACAACAGCTCTAGGCTCCCCGCACAGGGTTCGCGCGTGCGCACTGCTCTCTTCCCGACGCAGCGGGAGGGTCAGATTGAGTGCCACGAGCCGGAAATACGCAAAGGGTGTTCCGGTGCCGCGCAGGTTCCGGCGACTAAGGCGGCAAAATGGAGGAGACGCCTCACAGTGAGCTCGCGGGAGGGGCGTGGGTAGCGGGGCTGGAAGACAGGAGCCGCTCTAACTGTGATTCTGTCTCCGCGCAGACTGCCCCGGAACCGGCAGCGCCCAGGCCGGCCGAGGGGCCGCCTGTCAAGGGTGCCCCAACCAGCGGCTGTGCGCTTCAGGCGCCGGCGAGGCTCCGGACCCAGGTAAGGAAGGGGCAAGCTCTGCACGGGACGTAAAAGGCGTGAGCCGGAAGAGGCGGGGCTTATGGCGAACCTGGGCGGGAACGGTGGGCGTGACTTAAAGGATGCGTTGCAGGTACGCTGGAGGAGGCGGGGCTTGGTGGTGAAGTCGGTGCGGGGGAGGGGAGGCGACGAGGGGCGGGACTTGAGGAATGAATGACAGAGGCGGGGCCCGAGGGGCAGGGCCTTTAAAAGGCGGGGGGAATGAGGAACGTGGCCGGCCGCTGTGGAGCCTAAGGATGGGTGACTTTCCTGAAGTCAAAAGGGGTCTTAAGGGCGGGGCACGGGAGAAGTTGGCTGGGTTGAGGGGTGTGGCCAGAAGTTTGAGTGACAGTGACTGGTCTGGAGGAGGCCACCAGCGATGGGATAGGCCAGTGGTTAGCAAACTCATTAGTCAACAGAGCCTAATATCAACAGTACAACGACTGAAATTTCTTTTGAGAGCCAAATTTTTTAAACTTAAACTAAGCTGGCCTTTGCTAAAAACGTCCTCAATCTGAGGGGTTGACCTCAGCGAACGTACCCCCACTTCTTCTCACGCCACTTCTTCAAAATGGACTCGCCCAGGCCGAAAACCGACTTCTGCGCAAGGGCCACGAAGTTTCAATCTCACTGTTCCGCACGTGGTATTTTGTGGAAGAGCCACACTCAAGGGGCCAAAGAGCCGCGGTTTGCCGACCACTGGGATAGGCTATAAACTTTGAAGTCAGGGAGCTTGGGCTTACATCCTGGTGACCTCAGCTACTTTATTTGGACAGAATTTCTTCCTTTTGAGGAGCGATTCTTCCATTCATTCAACAGAAATATGTGTTAATCGCCTCCTAGGCACAGTGCTGGTGCTGGGGATATAGCTGTGAAAGAGAGAGGCGGCTGCTCTAGGGGATTTTAGTTTAGTAGGGGAGACCCACAGTAAACAAGCAAGCAATAAGTCACAGCAATAAGCATAGGGGGTCACATTGGAGAGTGGGGCGGACTCTGGGACATAAAAGGCAGGAAGCTGGGAGAATTTTGAAGGAGTCAAAGAGAGACTTGGGTTTGATCTTTAGTTCCCTCAAAAACAGTATTGACCTTGAGCAAGAGTCTTAACCTTTTTTTCCTGAGCCTCTATTTCCTTGTCAGTAATGGGGGAGAAAATTAGTTACCTCGCAGTGTTGTTTGAAGGGCTTGAAAGAAGGTGAAGTCCTGAAAATACAGCAAATGTCTAATAAGTGACAGTCATCAGTGACGGGCACTTACCAAGTGCCTGCTGTTTGTCAGGTTTCTCATCCTGGGCATCACCGACTTTTGGAGCTGACAGTTCTGTGTGCTGAGGGCTGTCCTCAGCATTGTCGGACATTGGGCAGCATCCCGGGCCTCTGCCTACTACATGCCAGGGGCACCCCTTCCTTGTGACAACTAAAAATGTCCTCAAACATTGCCAAATGTCTCCTGGCAGATTTTGCCCCCAGTTTGAGAATCGTTACTACACTCATGCACCAAATAATATTTAGATCGACTGTATAGGTGACAGTGGTCCCATGAGATTTTAAGGGAGCTGAAAAATTCCTATCAGCTAATGACATGTCTGTCCTAACTTTATAGTGCAAAGCATTTCTCAGATGTTTGTGGTGATGTCGGTGTGAATAAACCTATGTCATATAAAAGTACAGCACGTATAATTATATACAGCACATAATACTTGATGATAAACTATTATGTTAATTGGCTTATATATTTACTATTGTATATTATACTTATCATTATTTTAAATGTACTCTTTCTACTTAATAAGAGTTTGCTGTAAAACAGTATGCTGTGTTATACTGACAGCTGCCTCATACATCTCATGTTTATCTTTTGATTACATCATCTTTTCTTGTGCCTGATTTAATCTTGTGCTGTTCCATACAGTAGCATGCTGTATACTCTTGTAACCTAGGAGCAGTGGGCCATATCGTATAGCCTAGGTGTATAATAGGCTCTGCCATCTAGGTTGTGTGAGTGCTTTGTAGGATAAAATTGCCTAATGACACATTTCTCAGAATGTATCCCTGTTGTTAAGTGGTGTATGACTGTATATTCATAGCTCTGTAATGGAGCCAGGAATAAGGTGGTCACAGTAAAACAAAGATTTACATTTTTGATATTTATTTTATATATTTAAATGCCATTGAACAAAGAAAAATCAACCAAAATAATGAGTTCGCGTGTCACCTCTGACACGTGTGTCACAGGTTCGCCAGCACTGGACTAGGTGGTATTTCACACACAATTCCTTCTAGCCCATTGGGAGAGTGACATTTGGGATTTAGTTGGAGGATGTCATCCCCTGAATTGCTTTCTTTGCAGCCATAGAGGAAATCAAAGAGAAAATGAAGACCGTGAAACACAAAATCTTGGTGTTGTCTGGGAAAGGCGGCGTTGGGAAAAGCACGTTCAGTGCCCACCTTGCTCACGCCCTAGCGGAGGATGAAAACACGCAGGTAGGGGAGAACTGGGGAGAGGCTCCTGTCTGAGGGTTCATGATGGCTTGTGGAGAACTGGTTCCTTAGACTAAGCCAAACTGGCCTCTTTGATCCCTGCAGAGAAGATGAGGAAACACGTAGCAGACAAGCAATGAAAGCTTTCATTGGATGCTCTAGTTGTGACGATGGATAACAGGTGTACGTTTCCCTTGGCATTCTGGTTATTTATTACATCAAGTTCAGATTTCCTTCTCATGATTGGCCCCTTTCTGCCTTTTTCTAGGGCAGGGGTCTACAAACTATAGCTCATGGCCAAAACTAGCCCATCTCTTGTCTTTTTATGGCCTGTGATTTAAAAATGATTTTTACATTTATAAATGGTTGCTTTTCTTTTCTTTTCTGATTATTGTTATTATTTTTGTTATTTGGGGTTTATTTTTGCTTGTTTTTATTATTACTTTTTGATCCTCACCTGAGGATTTGTTGTTGTTGTTTTTCTTGATTTTTAGAGAGAGAAAGAAACATCATGTGAGAGAGAAACATCAACAGTTGCCTCCCTATGCATGCCCCAACCAGAGATTAAACCCACAACCTAGGTACGTGCCCTGACTGGGAAGTGAACCCACATTGGTGTACCAGACGATGCTCCAGTCAACTGAGCCACCTGGCCAGAGCTGTTTGTTTTTAAATGGTTGCTTTTAAATCTATATATATAAAAGCTTAAGTGACCTTTACGACCGGTTGACCGAACAACCGGTTGACCAGTCACTATGACATGCACTGACCACCAGGGGGCAGACACTCAATGCAGGAGCTGCCCCCTGGTGGTCAGTATGCTCCCACAGCAACCTCCCGTGGTCCCTCCCCCTGGCCGGCTGCCCTGATGGCCCTGATTGCTGGCCAGGCCAAGGAACCCTACCCGTGCATGAATTCGTGTACTGGGCCTCTAGTTGTTACATAAGTGCCTACATAATATCCGTAATTTTGCCCACAAAGCTTAAAATGTTTCTGTTTGGCCCTTGAAGAAAACACTTGGTGTGCTGTATATATTTCACAAAACCATAAAAAATTCATCGAACCTCAAAAAAAAAAAACAACCCAAAAACTTGCTGACCCCTGTACTGGGCCACAAACATATGTCCAGCTACACAAATGAGCAAGAAAACTCAAAGTACCCAGTGCTGCTCTCTGGATTTCAGCCTTAATAAAAGATATGGTGGGGCAAGGAAGAAAAAAATATTTTTTCCCAAAAGGTCAAATGGAAATTTGCAGTACCTGTGATTTTTAAAATACATTATTCATTGGGACTCATGGTAATTTTGCATTGACCTTAGAAAATGATCCCAATATTCACTTTATCATTTTATATCTAATAAAACCATGACAATTGTGTTTTTCAGTTTTGTTTTGTTTTGTTTTAACACAGGTTACATTCTAAAATGACCTGTTGTTTCCAAAATGAAATTTTGCCTAAAATTCCAATGAAAGAAACCTGGACATCTCAGAACTGTAGAGTGGCATGGGTGTTTCCAAAACCCAGCCTCTGTTGTGTTGACCCCTGAAATGAGAGACCTCGTGAGAACTTGTGAATTGGTACTGTGTGTGCTCTGGGTTAGAGAACTTGCTAGTCACTATTTCAGTTGCCAACTAAATGCTGTTTTCTCCATCAGAGCACTTTCTGGGGCCTGCAGAAGAGCTCTGTGTCATGTAGAAACAGTCTTATTTTGTTTGTGCTGAAAGCCATTCCCTGCCATTTCAGTTCTTCCCATGGTCTTTGTGTGTACCTTCTTCCACACATTGTTTTATTTGTGAACATTACTTTTCTAACATTTTGAATATTGGAAGTTATTTTTATATACGAGGGCTAACACTTTCACTTCAACTTTCTTTTCTTACTTGTTGACAAATGGCCCTTTACTTTTTGTTTGACTTTTTTAGAAAGTAAGATAGTTTTAGAGCAGTGGTTCTCAACCTTGGCTGCACATTAGAATCACCTGGGAATCTTTTTAAAATCCTGATTTCTGGGCCCCATCCTCCAGAAATTCTGTTTCTTTGTTACTAATGTTGTGGCCCCACCCCATAACAAAGAAACAGAATTTCCAGAGGATGAGGCCCAGAAATCAGGATTTTAAAAAGATTCCCAGGTGATTCTAATGTGCAGCCAAGGTTGAGAACCACTGTTCTAGAGGGACTGCAGAGGTACATTTATTATTGAAATTTCAAAACTGCCACATGTTGCCTATTATATTTTAAAACTCTAAAAGCTGGATACATTTCAGTACTTTCTATTTGTGTGAGATAATCCATTCTACCTCAGTGAGCAATAGCACCCTAAGACTTTACTATGATAAAGGCTTTATTTCCTCCACAAAAATAAACTAAAAACAATAAAGCCAGCTACAGTGGGCAAGGGGATCAAGCCACCATTCTGATATGCCCTCAATATACAAACACATACACACACGCAGTGGCCCCCAAGACACCTCACCAGTATCTAAGAACTCCAGAAATATATTTTTTTAAGTCATTGGATTACAAAATTAGAGTTTGCTTCAGGAGTTGGCAAATATTTCATGTCAAGAGCCAGATGGCAAATATTTTAGGCTTTGCCAGCCATACAGTTTCTGTAGCAGCTATCCAGTCTGCCCTTAAACATGAAGGCAGCCATCAACAACCTGTATACCACAAGCATGTCTGTGTTCTAATAAAACTTTATTGTTACTGAAAGTTGAATTTCGCATAATTGTTACAACATGACAAAAGTATTCTTTTTCTTTTTCTTTTTCCAGACCTCTAAAAATATAACAACCACTTGTAGCTTGTGGGCTGTACAAAAACAGGTGGCAGGCTGGATTTGGCCCCCGGGTATAGTTTGCAGGGGCCCTGGTTTGTTTTTTAACACCAGAAGCACCTGCGCTGGCTGGGGAAGAACTTTGCAGGACTGGAACCTTGGGCAGGGCACAGCCTTCCTGGGACAGTGAAGAGGCTGGACTGCATGATCTGTGAAGCTCCGTGTTCCTTTCAGTCATTAGGGCTCTGAATTCTGCCTTATCCCTCATTTCTGTTCCGATCATTTTATAACCCATGGAGCTGCCGTCATTGGCTGCACGTGGCTGACGTGGGCTTGTCTAGAATCTGGTGTCTGCTATCAAGATGTTCTCTAGGGATTTGGGGAAAAGGAGAGACACTGGGCTTGGAGAAGGTGGCATCAGGACTGTGATGGCGACTGATGGACGGGGGAGGGGGAACAAGGCACTGAGGTGGGACTGTCAGGCAGACATGGAGAGGCAGGCAGTCTGAGGGACTGCTCCTGGGAAGGGGCCAAGGCCGAGGCTGAGCCAGACCTGTGCCTTCGGAGCACCACGTGACAGCCAGCGAGTGTGTGGCTGAGCACCGTGAGAGGGCGAAGCCGTGTCTCCAGGACAGGCCTGAGGGTCCAAACTAGGGCAGGGATTGGAGCAACGGCAGGGAACAAATGAGGGCAGAGTTGGGGAGACAGAGCAGAACCTCCCACCTTTTGGAGGAGAGAGGAGTTGGAACTCTAATTGAGCATTTGGGGTGCAGTCTATCGTGGTGGCCAAGAGCACAGGCCCTAGAGCAGGGGTCCTCAAACTACAGCCCGCGGGCCTCATGCGGCCTGCCGAAAGCATTTGTTTTTTTTACTTCAAAATAAGATGTGCAGTGTGCATAGGAATTTGTTCATAGTTTTTTTTTTTAAACTATAGTCCGGCCCTCCAACGGTCTGCGCGACTGTGAACTGGCCCCCTGTTTAAAAAGTTTGAGGACCCCTGCCCTAGAGTCACCCAGCCCCACCCACACCACTGCTGTGACCTTGGGTAGGTAAAATGGACGCAGGCTGAGTGAGACGATACATGTAAACGTAAAGTGCTTAACAGGGCACCTGACATATAGTGAGTGCTCAGTAAGTGCCCTTGATAGCGATCATTATTGTTACTTTATTCCACTAACTGAAATCGGGGGGTGATGAAATTTTTGCTTCAGTGATAATGATTTATAGCCTACCCAAACAGTGCTGAGCAGACTCAAATCATGTTTGTCAATTCGTTCTTCTATCCATCACCAATCTCTTGCCATTGGAGGGGCAAATTTGTAGGTCCAGTTGGCTAGCCGAGAAATCTGTTTTCTCATGGTCCAGGTTACCCAGAGTAATCGTGGCTTCTTGAAGCTGTTGGGCATATTCTTCTCAGCTCTCTGGAGGTGGGCTCTCGCCAGGCCAGTTGCAAGTAACCACTTGTGAATCTACAGCTGTTTACCTAGCATTACGCTTCCATATAATTATGTTCAGAAAGCCCCACTGCACACACGTCTAGACCTTGCAGTAGACTGAAGGAAAGCACACCATCGGGTGTGGAAATAGGGCTAGATGAGCCCAATTTCTTTATGCAGCGGTGCTTTTTAAAACAGTCAGTACTTGGGAAAGTGTGTCACCTTCCAAAAGGTGCCCAGTATGGGCGTATAGTAGATGCTCAGCATGTCTCGCAGATTGCACTCCAGGCTCACACATTCCTCCCTGCCCTGAATTAAGCAGGATGGTGGGAGCACCCTGTCCCTTTTCTAACCCTGAGCAAGGCTGTTCATGTCTGCACTCAAGGCAGGCAGGTATCTGACAACTCATTTGCAAAGGGCTTTGCATCAGGAGGCAGCAGAATTGGGAAGCTCCTGACCAATCACAGACTGGGAAATGTGCAAGTTGTGGTGGAGGGAGGCGGAGGAGCCCAGCCTCTGACAGCAAAAGCTCTCACGCCATCTTTCTACCACAGTCGCCAGCTTCCCTAAATCACCACTTCATTATCTTGCTTTGTGCTCTAAAAGATGAACTTGACCATTAAAAGGTCCATGCTAGGTGCTTTAGGCCTGTTGAGTTTTTAGGCCCATCTGTGGGGTTTGTAGACTCTAAAGCTAGAAGGGCCCTAACAGTCTCCCTAAACGCTTGTTTCACAGCTCAGCAGCTCAGACGGATGGGCTGGGATAGGAGCAGCAATGTGTATGAGGTGACAGCCAGTGCCAAGTTAGGACTAGATCCCACTTCCCATGACCTCTTCTTTTTTGTGTTTAATTTTCCTTTATTTTTCTTAACGCCCCTAAGTTCTGTGGCTTCCAGGAAGCATCAGAGAAACGGAAGTGCCATTTCAGTACACTTTGTAAAGCAGCACCTAGGCCAGCCGTGGGCAAACTACGGCCCGCAGGACGGATCCGGCCCGTTTGAAATGAATAAAACTAAAAAAAAAAAAAAAAGACCGTACCCTTTTATGTAATGATGTTTACTTTGAATTTATATTAGTTCACACAAACACTCCATCCATGCTTTTGTTCCGGCCCTCCAGTCCAGTTTAAGAGCCCATTGTGGCCCTCGAGTCAAAAAGTTTGCCCACCTCTGACCTAGACGCACACACCACTGCCAACACCCCAGCAGCTCACACACCTGACCGTGACGGCCTAGCCTCCTCCGTACCTGGGGGCTGAGACGGGGCTTTAAGGCGCTTGTCTCCTGTGGCTCTGGCACAGAGCGCAGACATAAGGAGCCCCCACACTGGGCACAGCCCTGGCCCACGTGGCCACCCCTTAGGGGGAAGTTTGGATCCTGACCACTGTACCGCTTTGTGGGTGGGAGAGGGTGGCACGGCTTCCTCTTCCCCTCAGGCTTCCAGCACCTTCCGCAGAGGCATGTTTCTCTCAGTGAGGGTTCTGTGGCTTAACTTGAGCAGAAAGTGAATGAATTGGATAGATACTGAGGCTAGTGAGGATAGGGACAGGATCGACAGGAGGTTTGGAAGGGACAGGACACAGGACCACTGGAGATCTGGACAGCATGGACGTGACCTGCCACGAGAGTGAGTGCAAGCAGTCTGTTCTTGTGTCCTTGCATAATTGCACTCAAGATTCACTCCCTTGGTTGTGGGGAGTTCCGTGCCTCAAAAGGAAACATTAAATTGTTCCCAGAAGAACATGGCTACTGTGCTGGAAACCGAAGAGAATTGATGCAAGTCTCTATTAGGGGGTGGTGACAGTATGAATTCTTAAAGCGTGAGGTTGTGATGTAAAATGTCTGTGGATCATGAACACACATCAGTCCCCAAGTGTCAGGACCTAGGAAGTCGGGCAAGGTCGGGTTGTCAAGTTGTCATTCTGTTGCTCTCCTTGCTTAGCCCAGCAGAGGGCGCCTGAGGTAACCGGCTGATCTGTATGAAAAGCTTTCCTGCCCAGGGTCTGAGAGCAGGTGAGGAAGTAGGAGGTTGGTGTTTGTTGAGAGCTTTGAAGAAGGAAGCAAGAAGGGAATTTGGGGCAAGTTAAAAAGTTACCCAGAGATGCTGCACTTTGCATGCAGCACATTAGAGGTTTCCAGATGAATATTAGCCGCCTTTCAGAGTTCCCGAAGGCCGGTTCAGACCTCATCCACCTCAGGGAAAGCGGGGCGTTTGGCGTGGAAGGAGTCATCCCGGCTCTGCTTACCACTAGCAAAGAGGTTGTCTAGCTTTCCTTCTTCTTTTCAGTTTCTTTTCTGGAAGCTGAGCCGAGGCTATCACCAGCCTTCGGGATCACAGGGCAACGGGGTTTGGTCAGAGCTCAGCTCCTTGCCAGGCCCCTGGGGTAGTGGAGGGAGCCCTGGCTTCGGGGTCAGAGACCTTGACTTAGGTCCCAGCTCTGTCCTGGCTCACTGAACAGGTCACGGCGCCCCCGAACCTTAGTTTCCTCTTCTGTAACGCAGAGATAATGATACCCACCCCCAGGCACATGGTCAGGGCCAAGTAAACAGTGCCAAGGCCTGGATTTCCACGTGACCTGACACCCAGGTCCATAGGAGCACCTCGAGCCAGGTCAGTCTGGGCGGGAGGGAGGGAGTCCGTGCTGACGCACTTTGCCAAGACCTCTTTGGGAGTCTTGACCGGGTCCGTGGCTGGAAGATAAGTGCTGTAACTCTTCCTCGTGAGGTTCTACTTGGTCCATGTTTGACCCAGTTTCTTTACTCTCCTCCCCTCCCTCTTTTTCCTCTAACCCGATTCCCCTCCCAACTGTGTGTCTGCAGGATTGTACTTTCAGTCATGTCACAGCTCTGGTCTCTTCTTGTTCCCCAGGTTGCTCTTCTAGACATTGATATATGTGGGCCGTCCATTCCCAAGATAATGGGATTGGAAGGAGAACAGGTAAGAGGTGTGTGATAAAATGCAGTGGAGTGGTCTCCTACAGCAAACTGCTGTGCTGAGCTCCTCAGCCCACACAGAGGATTAGCACAGCCCATGCATTTTTGCACGGACTTATAAAACCAGATAAATGTTTGCTAATCCATCTGTCTACTTCAACAGTAACTGTGAATT